TCATCATTGATAATTGAGTTCAGTAATACCGGTAAGTTACTTACAACATAACTTTTGAACAGCTTCAATATTTGAATGACTTTACTCTTTAATTATGAGGAGTTAGGAAAAATAGATTCTAAAAGAAATTTTAAATGCATACCTTTTTCATAACAATAGGCTACATTTTAATTATCCAGGAGTGAAAAAGGCTGTGGGCCTATCTCCTTAATTAAGTGTTACTTTTAGAAACTTCTTGTTTTTGTTAATATTATATTAAAATAAAATACTGCTGAAAATTCATTTTTTGCCAAACCAATATGACTATTTTGATATTATATTTAGTATACAGTGAGGTGACAAAAGTCAGGGGATTGCAATACATAAATAAAGGCTTACATGTGGCAGTGGCAAGAAGAAAAAGCATAAAAAAGCAGTGTGTTGGCAAAGTTTTTATTTGTACTCGAGTGATTCATGTGAAAAGGTTTCTGACGTGATTATGGCTGCACAATGGGGATTAATAGACATTGAACACACAGTGGTGGTTGGAGCAAGATGTATGGGACTTCCATTGTAAAAATTGTTAGGGAATTCAATATCCTGAGATCCACAGTATCAAGAATGTGCTGAGAAAACCTAATTTGAGGAATAGCCTCTCATCAAGGCAACACAGCGGCTGATGGCCTTCACTTCATGACCAAGACAGTGCCGGATACAGGATCTAAGGGGTCCTGGGGACCATATCCCTCCCCTCCCCCTGGGCTAGAGTTTTTGTTTATTTCCTTTCTTTGTTTGGCAAAATTTATTTAAATATTTATGTTAGAATTATGTAATTATTTAATAAAATAATATTATAGAGTATTGTATACACACTACAAAATAATATACAATATAATAACAAATGTTTATCATTTAACAAAATTTGTGAAGCCCCTCTCCCCCTCTAAATGATTGGCTGGATCTGCCCATGGACCCAGAGCAGCAGTGTTTGCGTAGAGTTGTCAGTGCTAACAGACAAGCAACACTGCATGAAATAACTGCAGAAATGAAAGGGGGACATGTGATGAACATATCTGTTAGGACAATGGGGTGAAATTTGGTTTTAATAAGCTATGCCAAGGCTGACTTGAATGCCTTTGCTAATAACACATCTCCTGCAGCGCCTCTCCTGGACTAGAGACCATAATGATTGGACCCTAGACACTTGTCTAGAGTCTGAGAAAAAAGTAGCTTGGTCAGATGAGTCCTGATTTCAGTTGGTAAGAACTGATGATAAGGTTCATGTATGGTGCAGACCCCACAAAGGCTTGGACCTAAGTCGTCAGCATGGCAATCTGCAAGCTGATGATGGCTGTTGGTCATAATGGTGTGAGCTGTTTTAACATGGAATGGACTGGGTTCTCTTGCCCAACTGAACAGATTATTGACTGGAAATGGTTATGTTCTGCTACTTGGTGACCATTTGCAGCCATTCTTGAACTTCATGTTTCCAAACAACGATGAATTCTTTTATGGATGATAGTGCAACATGTTACTGGTCCACAATATCTGCGATTGGTTTGAAGAACATTCTGGGCAATTTGAGCTCATGATTGGCCACCCAGATTGCCCAGCATGAACCCCATTGAACATTTATGGAGTATTATTGAGAGGGCAGTTTGTGCACAAAATCCTGCACTGGCAATACTTTCTCAATTATGAACTGCTGTAGAGGCAGCAGGCTCAATATTTCTGCAGGTGACTTTCAATGATTTGTTGAGTCTATGCCACATTGAATTGCTGCTTTTTGCTGGGCAAAAGGAGGTCCAACACGATGTTTGGAGGTAAACCATGACTTTTAGACACTTCACACATACCCATATAGAGTAAAATCTGCCTAAGCCAGAATCACCCAGGTATAAAAAAGGGTTGTTTGGCTTGTTTTTGGCATTTTTGTAATAATGTTGTTATTTCTAAAATGAAACTTATAAATTACATAACTTTATTAGTTTAATATATTAATAAAGCACACATACAGAACCAAGATAAATTTTTAAAAATGTATTAAATGAAGTAAGAGATTGCATATCTGTATAATACCTTCCAATTAGTTATATATTTTAACCTTTAGTTTGAGTGTGCTGTGAACTCGTGTTTTTTCACAATTGAATAACTCAAGAGTTTTCATTGACAGCTTTTGTTGATGTTTTTTAACAGTTTTACTTGCTTATATAAGCTTGACTTTTACTTCTAGTTAAAACTTTTGTTTCTTTATAGCCATTGTTAAACTGCTAAACTTTGTAGCAAAACACGACCTCTGACTAATGGCCATAGTCCAACTGATTGACAACTCTTTTACAGAGTCCTCCATAGCCCAGTGTACTGCGATTTTTTGATAACTTTGTATGGCCTTGAGAAATGCAATTCTGTCAGAGGGATTATTTTCCTCGATGCAGTTCAGGGAGGTGTGCAAAAAGAAACCATGTCCAGAAATCATTCTATGCTCAGAGAGTCTGAAGAGGGGCAATTCCCAAACTCTTTGAGAAGCAAGCATTCTCCAAATGTTTTCTGCACAATACTGCCCAGCTCCCTCTCCCCAACAATGCAGCTGCCATGACAAAATTGTATGACGGGGACAGAGTACTTAAAACTGAGTTGAGGAAACATTCCATTACGAAAATCTCTCACTGTAATCACTCTGTCATTTGCATTAAAGTTACAGCAATTCCTTTTTCTTAAGGTATTTTCTCTTATAGGGCCAGAAAAAAAGTTTTGTTTCTTGTTAGACAGGTTTCATTTTGTACTGTAAAAAATGTTATTTAAAGTCATGAGTCAAAGAAATTTTCTGATTAAGACAAGTTCTTGACGTGTTCAGGGTCCAGCCTGTACAGGTTTTATTGTACTTATAGAGGTTAAGAGGGGAAATAAGTAATTATCTCAGTTTTGGCTAAAAATAAAAAAAGTAACTATATCATTTCCTTCTAGTATTTCTGTCATTGTTTTTAATTACCATACCAAATCTGAAAACATTCTTTCAAATTAGCAAGGTGCTGTGACAGGTATGATTTTTAAAACAAGCTTCTGTTAGAGTAATAAAAATTAGCATAATCAATTGCTAACAGATTTGTATGACATACTGCTTTATATTCCTGAATGTAGTTTTGCGACAGCTTATTTTCTTCTCAAAAATTAACTAGGAATTGAAAGGAGCCCATTAACATTACTTTTTTTATTTTTCAGTTTTATTTCTGCTGATAAGTCAGTGGGTGCCCAAGGTTTTCGTGCAGTGTGGACAGAAGTCAAAGAAGGTCCTGATTGTGATCAGTTCAAGTGTGAAAAAAGTAGTTACTGTATTGCCGATACCTTAAGGTGTAATAAAGTTGCTAATTGTGGTGCTGATGACCGCTCTGATGAACTCAACTGTAAGTGCAAATTGTATTATTCTACATTTTTAAATTCATTACTGTAATACAAGTTTCTTATTATGAACACAGTATTTTTGTATCACCATATTTCATCACTGATTTTATGATGAACTGTTTTTTATGTGAAGTGCTATTGCTCAGATATCTTCGTATCTTTTATTACTTCACAATGTTTCACAATGTTGTTGTCAGATTCCTTTTAATATTGGGTTGCATTAGTAACTATTTTTCTTAATAATTTTTGCTTGCTTTTATGTGTATCTACTTTATGAGCTTGTTTTGTTTGGTGATACATGCATGCACTAATTATTGGTCTAGAAATGAAATTCATTTCCTTTAGTCCTTTCTTCTCTCTTTATGATATATTTATTTATCTTGGAATTTTAACCACTAAAAGATAAATAGAAGTTATTAAAATGATAAGAATATTTAATAGACTTGTTATAAATTATATATGGCGATTTTGTGTTATACCTCATTCTACTTTATTTAATTATGTTAATATTTTATTCCTTCATAGAAATCCCTCTATTTTTATTATCAAATTCTTGTTTGTTTTTCAGAATGATTCTTTAACATTCTTCTGATCCATATCCCTGCTTGATTTCTTTTTGTTTTCATTTACCTAATAAACTATGAATTTCAATATAGTTACTAATTTCAGTTGATTGATTTTTAATCATAGAGACTTCATTATCAATTGTATTATAAATTAATTAAAAAATCATCTGGAAAAAGAACACTTTATAAAAGATTAACATTTAAACAGCTGCCTAAATATTGTATTTTACTTTTCTTCTTAAATTTTACAAAACATATTTCTGCTTAAAATGTTATAGCTAAGAAAACCAAAATGAAAAAATACACTGACAATTCTACACACAATATCCTTCCTTGTAGTTTCCTTTCTGTGGCACATAATTTTGTCTGTCTGTCAGGTGGTGCGCACGCCCCCGGCCTCGTGAGTGGGCCCGCGCTACCCCTTCTCCTCCTACCTCTGTGCTTTGTGATCTTATTCTCCTGATGAGAGACACGCAGAGTGAGCGCATGTGAATCTACACGTGAGTGCTCTTCCCTGCTTGCTCAGCATTCTCTGCTCTACTTCAACTTCACCTGGAGTGTGGATGACTGTTATATTCAAAGTATTGAAAAATTCAGGAAATGTAAGAAAACATTCAGCGTTGCTCAAAACAAGAAACAAGTTATTACACACTTTGAAACAAATTTAATTGATGTTGAAATAAATCTGTTGATGAAAAATGTTCCCAATTCATAATATCATTATTAAAAAATTGTTTCTATAGATTTTCCTAATATTGTAGATTTTAAAAGCAGTTCCTTGGATTTTAAGAAAATATTTTTGAAAAAAAGATTTTAAAAAATAATTTTAATCTGTAAATTTTAGTAACAAAATTACGTTATCCTTTCAAAAACACTAATTGTATATTTATATACAAATTTAAATGCTGCAAAAAAATAAATGAATTTACTCTTCCACATTCCATGGTCTCTTTCCACCCATCTGGGTCTTTTCTTCAAATGTGTGTCTTGCTATGCAATGTTGTGATGCATGACTCAGTATCAGGTATCATGTTGATTTCTATATATATATATATATATAGTAAATAGATAATTCACTGACGTTTGAGAATATCATCTTGTAAGAAATACCTAACACAATATATTAACATCAATGTATTATTTAGATACTTATAGTTCACTATTTTACCATAGACTATTGAAGTTTCAGATTAATTACACATAATAATTGTTCTATTTTCAAGTTCACTTGAAAGAAATTGAATTGGTTGTAAAGTGCATGCTGTCAGAGATATGACTATGTTTGTGTTCCATAATTTCAGATGTTGCACGTAAGTATAAATAGAATTGAGAATATACAAGATCAAATTGTTACATGATGAATCTGATAGGATTGAAATTGTTAAAATTGTGAAAAATTGTTTAATAGAAGAAAAAATTAAAATTAAGAACATTAACCTTTTGTAAATTAAAATTAAACATCATTTTCCATAACAAGTTTTAGAAAAGAATTGAAATGCCCTTAAACTCTGTTTAACATGGAAATAGTACTTTCATACTATTTTCAATTCTCATATAATACAAACGCCAACATTTTTCCTCCCTCTTCATCTGAAACTCAATTCTTCTGTAGTTGATGGAAACTGTGTGTGAACACCTTCGTAACTAATAAATTAATTCATATCACAGAGGGAAACACTTAACATTAACTCCCTTAATAACATTTAAGGGAGGAAGAAAAGCACTAATAAATTTTCCATAATTGTTGCATAAAAATTCTATATTAATTGACAATTTATTTAATTGCTTCAGTGATCATTCACAAAATCTTTATTTTCTACTAACTTGCTCTTAAACATACTTAGTTGATAACAAATATATGAATTAAATAGAATGTCTGTCTGCAATGCAATCAAATAAATGAACTAAATTTCAAGATGTTCAAAAAAATTTGTACAATGTTAATTCAGGAATTTTGATTAAATTTAAATTTCAATAAAGATTTCAAAATAGAAGTGTTTATTTTGTTAAATATTTTATAAATGATTACTTAAGACACAGGCATAACCTTTTCACAAAAGCAATATTATCTCATTTTCTATGTATGGTGAGAAGAATGACCAATTCTTGTTTTGACTGAAAAAATAAGATATGTTAAACAGTTTTTGCATTTAAATAGTCTCAACAATAACTTCCAAATTTAAAACTTTATTTATAATAGTCTAAAAACAGTTATACTTCACAAAATATTAATTATTATTCTGGAGCTCTGTATAATAGGTAAATAAAATGACTATATGATTACATTCCTACTCTCAAAAATAATAACAATATAAACTATTTGTCATTCACTAAACTTTCTTTAACTGCATCTCTTTCACAGTGTCTTCTTCTTCTAAGTTTTTTTAATACAATTATTGTTTGTATTTTAAACAAGCAATTCTCAAAGTGTATTTGTGGAGGAATAAGTTTGAATCAGGATTGATTTAGATGTAATTATATGGTGACTCTGATCTACTACTGGTGAAGCTAGCAGTGATGGTGCTCTTGTCACATTATATTTTTTTGATTATTAATTTAATATAAAGAGGCATCAATATACATAATAATGTATAAATATAATAGAATACTTGATGTTTATAAACTGGTTTTATATATGCTTACATTTTACTGAAAACAACCACACACAATTAGTGTAAACTACTTGGAATGAACTTTTTAATTATTCATTACGTATATTAATACAACTGAATATATAAAAATTTATCAATCAAACAATTGAGAACCTATGAGCCAAATTATTTAATCTTTATTTTCAATTTTCCTTTATCCCTCCTATTTCCAAAAATAAGTGACTACACCAGATGCTATAAGCTACAGTTATGTCAATCTTATATCTACTAATTAATGTTCCCTTCGAAGTTTTTTACTGTTATATAATAATGATATAATAATATTATGCCTAATGGAAAATGACATGCAACAGGTCTTGTCGAGGCTCCTGTGGACTCCTTCATGCTGATGGGTGTGGTACTGTGCGTGGCAGGCGCGCTAGTGCTCGGCATCTGCATTTGGTGCCACCGTAAGCGCCGGCGCAGGCGACGCCACTTGGCGCGACTGCACAGAGGCGGTAGCAGTGCTGCAGGTTCCAGTCACAGCCGACAGTTAGGCAATAGTCGGCGCCAGCATGTGTGCGATGAATTAGGGGAACGCTTTGCGAGTGTGGACAGCGTTTGATGATAGGTGAAGTAATGTTGAAAATTTGAAATGCTGGAAAACAATCAAGGTAAAGTAAATGAAAAGAAAATGTCAGATGTTTGTGAGCTTTTAAACTTCTTGTTCTGTACTAACAAGAATCTCTAACAAGTGAATGAACAGGAAGGCAAATGTTATAAAGATTTCTGTTAGTGCTTAACAAATTGACTTTAATGATGTTACTGAATTGTCATTTAAAAACATTAATGTTACCAGAATATTGTGGAGTTCATGAACAAATGACTTATAATATGTTTATTAGGAAAAGGCTGTAATTATTTATAAAGAATATCTTCAGCTCACAACTTAAGTAATGATGAACAAGCAGATTTTGAAGCATTGGGTTTGAATAGTGACCCTGTTGGAGAAATCTCAGTGTTGGGAGGGACTGATACAGCAGTGATTTAAAATTACTGTGTGGAAGTAATGAAGCTCACATTTCTTGGAGGGTGTATGCTTACTTAAAATGCATGCTTTATTCAAACTTTGAGATTTTAGTTTTCACAGAAGTACACATATATATATATATATAATGCTGTGCTTTTTGGTGAATTTGTATCATAATTGTCTTGAGTGGTAAAGCAGTATACAATTATTCATAAGATGCACATTAGTGAACTATGGCAGAAGGCACATTTTAGAGAAAAAGCTCAGTTGTGATATGCATTAATTATAACATTTGTGAATAAATTGCATTGTTTACTATTACCACTTTTAATCTGAAACTGTATGGATTGCTAATTGACATCATGGATTATTCTCAAATTAATACTTTTATTTATAGCAAGATCATGAAATATTCAAAAAGTTCAAGTGAAACTATCCCAAAGTGTTTTTCAAAAATAAAATTGGAAATCATAAAAACCTAAACTCAAAATTTCGTCTATCAAAAATATTAACTACTCTTGTTTCATTTCTGAGGTAATAAAAGGTTTCAACAATTACTATTAAATTTAATAATTCCATACACTTTCAGACAAAGAGACTGATTTAATTTTAATATATTTTCTGTTATTTTTTTATGATAGTAATTTTTGAGTCTACAGTAAATTTGGTATCCCTACAGAATAGATTGATTGATTGGTTGGTTGGTTGCTTCCTTCATAAGAAATGCTTCATATTAAATATTACTGTTATAAGTACTGATGGGTGAAATGTGAAAAACTAGTCCGAGTCTTCCCTTGTTTCTCTTACTAATCACAGTTATTCACAAAGGACCTTTATATACAAAGTAATTTTATAAGATAACAGATACCAATGAAGATATTGTCAAACATAAGTTGTGACATTTGTGTGTATCAGTTAAGAGTCAATTTCTTGTAGAACTTGTTACTGAGTCATTGCTAATGTCTTTTAGTACCCTAGAAGAGTTTAATTTTTAATTATTTTTTGTTTGTGAAGTAATTTAATAACACAATTTTTTTCTTTTACCCCCTCCCTCTTAAACATAATTAAAATTTTAATACATGATTAGTTTCTATTGTTCACAAATTATTTTCCTGGCTTCATTTCCCTTATATAAATATTTTTCATTATAAAATTTATTTCTTAATTTTAAGTTTTAAATTACAATATTTTGTTTTTAATTAAATTCAAAATTTCAAGAACCGTTTAATAGCTGGGAAGCAGTACTGATTACTATATGACTTCTTTAGTATCACAAATATTTACGTCATTTCATTATTTTTTTCATACTATAACAGAGTAATAATTATTCACATTTGCTTACTGAATTTTCTACACTATCAATAAGGAAAATGAAAGATTTGCCTAGTGAAAGATTCACACCACAATTAGTTTGTATCATCAAGTTATTCTTTCATAGATAAAGGTTAGTGGTTCATCACTTGCAATGTGTTCAAAACTTGAATTCATTGTTAGAAATATAACAGGGTTGCCTATAAAATGAAGAAATTGAGATCAGTACTGTTTACACGGAAGACCATGAAAGATCACGCAAAATCTTCTGAGTGATCTTAGAAATGTATACATCTACATGTTTTGTACTCTAAAGCAACTTTAAATTTGAGTAAATTCGATATCAAAGTAGACTTTTTCTCTAAACATTTCATTAGTTTGAGAAAACAGTGAATACTTAGCATGTGGCCTTAACATTCAGAACTTTCTCATTAACTGAAAACACCAATACAGATACATTGTGTCTGTTTGTAATGGTGGTCATTCTATTAGTGACATTGCAATGAATCTTATTTTTAAGGAGGTATCACCATTCACAAGAAATTAAATGAACTGAATATAAAATAGCAATGCAATTTTAATATCATTGATTTACTTTTCAAAATGATTCTTTTGCAACCTTTTTTTTTTTTTGTGGTATTGCTCTTTTGTATACTTAACATTTCATATTGCATGTTTTGTTTTTAATTCTCTCTTTCACTGTATAAAATTCACATCTTGTGAGCAATAAAAGAGTAAGTTAATTTTGTTGTTTATATGTATTGAAATGTGACAAATTAACAAATGGATTTTGTAACATACTGAAATAAAAAAATTAATTCTGAGAAGGCCAGAAACCTCATGCAATAAAATAAAATAAATCTTCTGGTAAGCAACAACTTGTATTCATATTTGTAAAACGTTAGTCTTGAGTACTTGGATAAATGGAATTAAAACTGCTGTTGTATACCTGTATATAATGATTTGAAGTAGATATAATTAGTAAAAAAACCACCATATTATCACATTAATACTGCTTTACCATCATCAGGAATTTTTGCAAAATTGAAAAGTAAATTTTTATTGTCATTTTAAAGTTCAATTTCAGAACTAAAAAAAAAAAAAAATTCATCCTCTTTTAATTTTTTTTATTTATTTATTTTTTTTTTTTTATTTGAAAGTTTAAGTATAGGTCCTTCAAGACAATGATTTGGTAGTTTTATGAATGCTGTGTATAATATAGAATTAACGGGTGTTATATGGCACAGTTGTTAAAAATTTCTATTGTTTCTTTTATCCTGAAGTAAAATGAATTTGTTTACTCATCAACTTTATTAATTATGAATGATTTGTTGTGTGATCAAATGTGATAAAGCAAATTACTAAACACCCATCTAAAAATACTTATAACACAAGCCAGTTGTTTTATATCCAACAGAAAACCTAAATGTTAAATTTTTCAATTTGTGCATGGGTCATTCTTTGTTTACTATTGCTTTATTGAAATACACCATTCCTCAAGTTCACTTACGAGCCCTGCATGAAAGTGTGAGAGTGTGATTTGTGCATTTGGTTTTTGACTGGTGCTATGACAAGTACAAGTCCTCAAATAAAGTTTGAATGAAATGGTATAGCTTTGTTCATAGAAGGGCAGAATTAGTTTTAGAGAAACATTATTATACCACTGAAGACTTGCAAAACTGAGTGCATGAAGTGATTAAATAAATAAAAGGTGTCTCGTCTGCAATTTGTCTTGTGTATGAGCAAATTCATGAAACTGAACATTCATTGTGAAAATAAGTATTGCATGTGTGTGTGAATGTGTCATGAGCACTCAGCTGGAGCAGATCTGGAACGCCTAGCTCAGTTGTTGGCAGCTCTAGAGTGAAATGTTTTACAATTATTGAGGAATTGATGCACAACTACTATGGCAGACCACATTGACATTCAGACTCCAAAACGAATAGCACTCAATACGTTTGGATAATTTTTTATATAAAATTGTGTTGCTTTGTTTGTTTTTCCAACACACCAAAATTCTGTCTTCTTCAGTTCATTGAAAGTAATATGACTTTATGCAGTCTTTGTATACTATATGTGAAATTAAATATTTGCCTATGATGATAATCTGTGAGTCACAGGAAATCATTCCTTATGAATTTCATCTTTAATTCTTAAGATCAGTTATGAAGCATGACAGTTTCATGATGAATTATGTTTGAATGTTTTGAAAAATGAATTTGATTTTATGTTTATTGTTGATGTTTATCACACATTTATTGAATGCATCTGTGTCTTTCATACGTAATTACATATATAAGAAATACGTATAGTATACATACTGTTATGGTTCTGTAAAGGATGTTTTAAAAATTTCAAGCATTATTTGATAGTAAATTGCTAATCAGTCTATAAAAGTAAATTATCATATAGTCATGCAACTGTTTTGTTTTATCTTGGAAGCTGGCCCAGCAAATACCCAATGTTGTATTGGGTAAGATGATATACAAAAATACTTCAGTTTTTAGAAACAATTAAAGCTTTGCAACCTCTGAGTCACATGATACAGAAGTGATGCAAAGAAACATTTTACTAATCAGTACCAACATTTTTCGAAGCAAGCACATTATCACCTTAGGTACAAATGTAATTTTTCAACAAATTAAAAGTTCTTTTACACAAAGATTTAAAAAAATGTTTATAAACTGTGCACAAAATCCTATTTCAAAACAGGCTCAAAGCAGGAATTGATACATCATAATACAACACAAAATATCATTGACAAATAAAATATGCTATCAGGCACTAGATTCTGGGGTTGTTAAAAGCACTGTTTTCTGCACAAAAAGCACACCTTTAGTGTGCTAATTAAACTTTCCCTTGCTCCATGGCACATGGTAAAACAGTTTATTAAATCAAAATGTTATAATAAAAATAATGATAATAAAAAGACTTCCCCTCACAGAAGTAACTGCATGGATATAAAAGAAATGCCTCCCTTGAAGTTTCACTAAATAACTCAAATCATAATCATCCTTGCACCTGACTGAATAGACAATGTGCATGACTATCATACATTCCAAAGTAGTGCATTTGGGCTTTAATAATTCTGTCATGTTTTATGTTAACATTTGCCTTCTGATTGAAAGTAACCACTTTTGGAATTATTTTATTTTTTCACTCCCATTTTTGTTATAAATATTGTCACATGTCTGTGAACTGGCATTAATAAACCATTTCTGGAGGATTATCAATGAACTCTTCACAAAACATTAAGCTGTAACAACAAAAAGTGATTTAGTCAATTAAGTTCATAAATTATAATATTTAAAAAAGGGAAATTTTCGGAAAAAATGCACACAAACTAATTAGTTCATTTTTGCTCTAACATTTTACAGTAAAAGAAAATATCTTTTCTTTCTTGTAAACTGAAATAATTCAATTAAACAAAAAGTGTGCAATGGAACTAATACTAATAAGAAGCATGTTGATAATTTATATTCAACAATATAAGCATACTGCTGTTTAAATTGAATTATGAAGTTTATATAAGAATATGGCTTTCATTTTAGGTACTCATGCACCTGCAATATTGTTTGTTTCTTTTATTTATTCCTGTGAGTTTCCTAATAAGGAAGTGAGTGGCCTAGAAATAATACGTACGATGACAATTTCAGAACATGAGGCTCATGTAATATGTGTACCTAATGAACTTGTAACATAAATCTATTGTTAGAATGCCATAAATATTTGTTATATTTTGCTTCCAATATACTGTTTAATTTAAAAAGTTCTTGGTAATCCATTAACCAAATGTTTTTTTCTACATTGCCATAATAGTTTGACAGTTACACATGCATTTGTGTTATGTTGATCTCTAGCTTGAATCAAAGGTTACAGAAATTAAAAAAAAAAAAAATTGCTCATTATAATGTTAGGATATTTTGTAATCAGATTGTTGTGGTATTGTTAGCTCTTTCTTGTTGGGTAATATGAATATTAATTGAGGATAGATTATTTAGTGACAGTTTAATTCTTTCATGTAAAATAAGTATTGTTCAGAGAATATCAACCCTATTGTGTATTTCTAATGGACAATTATAGATAAATAGATTTAGAAGGAAACTCATGGGTGTAAACTGTTTAGATAATTGTTCTAAATGGTGGCAAACAAATATTGTAACCAAAAAATTGGGTATATTTCTTTTGAAGTTATATTAATTTCTTCCAATTTATTTTCATGTTTTTTATACTAATATTTGTATCCCTGCCTATCTGTAAAGCAATGTAATAAGATATTCTTTATACTTTTCTAAGTATGGATGTGTGAGTGTGTGTGCTTGAATTAATTTACATTTATTTTAATGCCCCCAATTATTATCTTCAGTAAATATCTGCAAAAGTTTTATTTGTCAGTACTTCAAAATTATTTGAATAAAGCTAATTAAATGAATAACTCATACATAAAAGAGAAATTTTAAATAATTACATATTGTCATTGTTCTATACTGAAGTAAGAGGGAAAAATAAATTGAAAAATCTTCTAATCATAAATAATTAAGTGTGCTTCAACTGTGGGAGTGTACTATGTTTGGGTGATGTTAACTTACAATGAAATCAATTAATGTTCCCTTGTATACCATGATTTAAAATAAATATAATTAATGCAGGATACTTTGTAGAATTTTATAAGTACAGTGCTGTTGGTACTGACATAAACCAAATTTAAGACTATGCATTTCAGCTCCAAAGGACTAAAGCTAAAATTGAAAACAGAATCATACCAAATATTAAAATAAATAAGTCCTACAAATGAAAACAGACAATCAACCATTCCTGGGGCTTATAAATCTTGTTTGATTGAAATGGATATGATAGTAATCGTGAATGTTTTTGACATCTTTAGGCATATCTTTTCTGTCATTATTTTTCAAGAAGAACTGAAATTGCATAAAATTATTGATACAAATACCAAGATCTCAATGCTACCATCATATAATTCTTAGAATGTCTGCTGATTAAGAGATTCAATTTGAATTTAAAGACTAGACTGCACTAGTTGCATTCAGAGTATGTATCAAACTGAGTCAAGGTGATACTGCAAATTACTAACAACACTGCAATATTAATAAACTTAGTGAGGTAAGAGTCTGTTGTATGTTTTCCAATTCAAGTCCATTTTTGTAAAGAATGTAAATCCACAGAGATTGCTCACTATCTGCCTAAAATATACCATCTTCTGTGCACTTGTAAAACTGAAAAAGAAATTTGTGTAAATAGAGGCCTAGAATATCATGCCACAAAAGTGATTTGACTGTCTCATTCTAAGTGCTATTAAATAGTGAATAATCATTGAATTGTAAATAACATCAACAGATTCTGTTTATAGTAAATAAATAGTAATGGATTGACAAATCATATGAATGAGTTACTTTAATAAGTTAGTCAAAACATTCTGAATACAAACGCAGTTTTGAAAATTTAGTAATAAAAAATAATTTTGTATTATGTAACAAGTTTTCACAAATTACTGAGATAATAGCTTCCTTTTGAGTTTTCCCATCATTAGTGCCTTATGGTCTGAATGTACCCATGCAAATACATGTCACATTGACCAGAAAACTAGCACAAAACAACTTAAATACATATGTATGAAATTGATTTGTCTCAACATAACTTTTAGTTTGTCATTCATATTTTCTACTCAGGTTTTTCAGCACAATCAAATCATTTCCAAATAATTCCTTGTATCACCAAATTATTTCTGAAATGTTGGAATTAATAAATGCATCCAAACATTTTTGAAAATGTAAGATACCATTTCTTTCTGGATTGTGTAATTCTGGATCATTGGAGGCAGCACTCTTTTTTTATTTATAAGAAAGACCCTGAAAAGAAAGAGACTGCAAAGACCAACTTTCAGATGAAATAAGAATTTCTTAAAGATCAAACCTTACAATCAGGACTGCTTCATATACTATTTATGTAGTATATGTTGCGTGAATTCAAAAAGAAAGAATTTAAATTGATTTTGCAAATTTTTAAAAAAAGAAGTGAAATAATTTATAACTAGGAAGTCCTCTTTCTGTTGCAGGCTTAATCATTTTCAATTTTAAAGAGCATTTTTCCAAAAAGAAATACTCAAAATAATTATTTACCTTCAGAACACAATAGTACTACTAAGCTTATCAGAGTGTGTCTGCGATAGGTTGGATATAAAAACAATGGCTTTCAAATATAGTATATTGATGGGAAAAATCAATCAGAACTATTAAACACATCTCAATCATACAAGTTATTTATAGACATTTGCATGTAATAG